CCGCATTAAAACTAAAAGAGGAACATTTATTTTCAGCCTGCTGATGACAACAGGAGATGTAGTGCCTTTATTACCGGCAGCAGTTGTGTCAATCACACATGCATGCACACTTATATTTACCTTTCCACTGCTCTCCTCCAGCTCCTGCTGTGTGGAGTCTACTTCCAACTCAGGTTCCTCCTCCTCCTCTCCTTGTTTGTCAGAGGGAGCATCATCTGCAGTATGAGCATGGCCAACATTCTCCTCTTCACACATTCTTTCACTTGTCTCTCCCTCTTCAGTATGAATCCTACTCTCTTCTTCGGTGACCTCTTTTTCTGACCCCGACTCCAGAAGCGTTCCCCGGTGTTCCTCTGATAGATGTTCTGCACTGGTTTCTGTCGTCTCACTCTCTCCCTCCGTTGCAGCTACCGCTGTGTTTGTCTGAGCAATGGCTGATAAATGGGCAACTCCGTCCACTCCATCATCACTGTCTCCATCCTTCATGTGAAGGTCACCTTGACTTTCCTCTCCGTCTTCTCCTAATGTGTCTGTGGTCTCGTACGACAAGTCAAAGTCAAATGTCCTGGTGTTTTCGTCCTTGCCATCGGTATCTGTGTGGCAAGTTCCCTCGTCAGGGACCTCGTCTTCAGTAACACTCTTTTCTTTCTCATCATCATCATCATCATCATCATCATCATCATCATCATCATCATCATCATTTAGATTAAAATCAGTAAGCTCCTTTATTTCAACCTGCTTGTCCATTTCTTCTTCTTCCGATTTAAATTCATTTTCAACCTTGTCAGGTTCATCTTCTGCTTCTTTACCAGATCCAGTTTCCACTTCATCTGAAGTGACTTCCTGGAACTCAGACTCTTCGTCTTGCATGTCTAATTCTTCTGTCAGCAGTTCCACAACTGAACCCTCGTCCAGTGGCTGGTTCTCTCCTGCCTCAGTCATTTGCTGAAAATCTGGGACGTCTTCAAAGCTAACCTCGACCAGTGACTCCTCCTCTGGTACGGGATTATTATCTACCGTGGCCTCAACATGAGAAGAACCTTCAGATCTTTCATCACCTGGAGCCTCAGACTCTGTTTTCACCTCTTCCTCTGTAAATTCATCCTGATGTTCTACCTCTGGTTGATGGCCCTCAGGTGTCTCTAACTCATCCACTGAAGCCCTTATTAGCATTTCCTCATTTTGAACATTAAAACCTTCTTCTGTTCCCAAATCGATTTCACTTGATATTTTTTCTATTTCTCTCTCTGTCAACCCAAGCTCAGAAGCACAAATGTCAACCTCAGCTAGTTCGCTGTGTAGAGACATCTCCGCAGGTTCCTCCACTTCAACGTCTGCCTCACCCTCTGAATCCGAGGCCTCCACATTCACATTCCCTCCGCTGTCCTCTGCTATTCCTAATTCCTGTGCACACACATTAAACTCCTCACTGAGTAATAAGACGTCATCGGACGTAGTCTGCAGAAGAGCCGAGCCTGGAGCACAGCTGTCTTCTTCATGAACGTCCCTCACATCTGTATTAACAACGTACACGGAGGTGCCTTCGTGCTCTGACTCACTGGGCTCATCTGGCCGTAGATCTGCAGTGGTGAGGCTGTCTGTGGCGGCGTCTTCACAAAATACCTTCTCCTCTGAAACACTGTGTTTTCTCTGAGCTTCATGTTGCTCTTCAACTTCACTTTCACTTGAATCCTCCTCTTGGGAGGAATACGGCTGGGTGGTGGAAAACTCTGAGATTTCTGCTGCACGGTTTGATTCACTGTCAGTTCTGGACTGGTGAAGCTTTGCTCTATAAAAGCACCAATTAAAATGAGAGATTTTAGGTGAGCGCTGCTCAGGCTGGCATGCTGGAGTTATTATGGTGCTTGTTAAAAATCCATGTAATCTGCTGCTGTGATCATCATCTGGAGCTGTGGTCCTGCTCTTTCTCCTCTCACTTAAATAAAATAAAAATCTATATAAATACAATGCCCTTGTATTTCCCTTTTAAAAATCACTTTTGTATCTCTTTTTTTTTACACTACGCCTGCTGCAGTCGGGACAACATTTGTGTCCAGACCTAAGCTGCTGTGGACTTTCATCTTATGTAGTCGTATTTTATTTTCCTATGTTGGAGAAAACCCACGTTTCTGTCTACGGAAAACATCACAAGTGTGTAAGAGTGGGTCCTCATGTCATGTTGCTATTCTTTCCCTGGTCTTCATCCTCTCCCTTTCCCTCTTCATCCTCCTGGCTGTTGATAACACACAAGGGGAGACTCACTCAGACGTCGTGATCTCTGCTGGTGCCTCGATTTCAGGGCCTTCCTGTTAATAGTTGATTAACAAAACAAAGAAAAAAGTTAGAAAAAATAAAGTTTAAAACATATGGATGCTGTATTGTAGGTGGATGACCGTCCTGACTCACTGTTTGTGTGTTGTAGAACTTGTCTCTCAGTTTTTCAGTGAACTGGACGTGGTCCAAGTTACTTTCTATCATCAAAAATATAAAAATTATTCAACAGCAATTCTCGACTTTTGTGTCAATTATAGACATTTTTTTACAAGTCAATCTGTACCAGCTCTTTGTTTGAGAAGTTCCTTGAAGTAGTGAGCGGCGAATGATGGGATGTCTTCAGGCTGGTCTCGTAGCACTTCTTTGGACAGTCCCATCAGGAGTTCACTAAATCCTTCAGGGATCCGTAGGTGAGTGTTGGAGAAGGACACGGCCATTTTCAAGAGAAGTTTGACTGACGTCTGAGCTGGAGGAGAGTTTCTTCAGTAGTTAAATTCAAATGTAAGTCAGAAAAGGAAATAAATAATAATAATAATGTATAATAATCAATTATTATACATTTTATTTAATACACATATTTTGCATAATTTGTTTTTCTGAACCACTTGGTGTCAAACAATTTTGACAAAATTCAAAATAACAAAACATTATAATACTTGACTCAGTTTATATTTAATCAATATAACGTTTATGTGTTTTTTATTAAATGGCCATCAATAAACAATAATTTATACAACCTTTTGCAGCAACCAATAACTATTCGAATTAATATTTTTACAGTACTGTTGTTTATTTTGTTGCTAATTCATGTTGCTTAAAGTCGAGGTTAAACAAGAATAAGGTGTTGAAAACAGTGCATGTGCATTATATTATCAATATTTGAACAACACAACAGGTTGTACTGTTTATTTGTCTCGTGTTTACGACTCTGCAAAACAACTGAGACCTTTAAAATTCGGGTTCATTCACGTTTTAATCCCCATATAAAAGTGTTAAAATATTCACTGACACGAAAATGTGTTTTAATTACCGGTGTGGACACTGGTGTCTGATCGCTGTGTGTAGGAGCAGCACAAACAGCTGGAATGTTTGCTTTTTCTTTCCGATTTTTCTTTCCCCCTTCTTTAGTGTGGATTGCTGTTGACAGACGTAATGTGAAAATGACTCATTAGCACAAATGTAGTCGTCATGAATCACTTTAAAGGAATAAAAGGTCCGAGGTCACCTGGGAAATTACTCCAAACTCGGAACGTGGAGGTAGTTGTTTGTGGACAACCGTAACCTAACAACGGCTGCAACTACGGTTAGCCGTAAAGGTCAAACTCGATAAAAGTCACACGGAAATGCGACAAGAGTGTTTATTATTATCTAAACCTCAACAACAACAATTATTTTGAAAATACTTTTCATTACATTTATATTAAATTATTGTTATTTGATTCATAAACAACTGGTTTATTAATTAGCTTGCTAATTAATGTTAGATGGAAACTTGCTTACAATGTCATGATTCTTTAACATTAAGATATATGAGGAAGCCCAACGTTTATCGTGTCATATAATAAAATATTTGTTTACTTTAAAGAGATTTGTGTTGTTCCAAGGGTGAAAAAGAACATCGAAGGTTTTTTTTTGTTTTGCAGGAAAGACAAAAAAATGGCAACAGGTGTGTGAAGCTGCTGCTGCCCATTTTTGTCTTAAAACATTGTTAAACTTCAGTTCAGTCGTTCAGTTTGTCGGAAAAAACCCCCCCAGGACAGTTCCTGCATTCAGTGGAGTTACTTGATGAATAAACAGCACAACTTAAATAAAAAAATCTGAATCCACTTTATTAAGGACAACAAGGTTGAAGTGATGAACAAAAATAATTATAAAAACCCACTTATAAGAGATGAAATGTAATTACTGTATGTGGAAAAAATAACAATAAAAGCCAAATACAAAGGGAAGTCAAAGGGAAAAAAGATTTTTTTAACATTTTTGAAAAGTACATTTATTTTTTTTAAGTAAGATGTTTGGTTAATATTTTAGGGCAAATTGTGCCACAGCTTCGGAGTTTCAACTGTAAAGGATCCTGCTTTAAGGATTGAGCAAAAACAACCAGTGAACAAATGAAGCAGGTCAGAGAGGTCCTGAAGAGCAGAACCTTAATGTGAGCATTTATACACCAAGGGTCAGACGTGTGCCCCTCACTCCTCAGGCGTACGTGATGACTGCGTATTCAGAGTTCGTGCTCATCTTGCGGCTGACATCCCTGGGCAGTGGGACGTGCAGTCGGTCGGCAGAACGTGTGGCCTGTAGATGAGACCTGGAAACGTTCCCCCGATACTATAGGAGAATGGAGAGGACCAGCAGGTTATGATGGTGTAAACCATTGTTTCCCAAAGACTGGGTCACGAACCTCAGGTGGGTCGCAAAAGTTTTTTTTTTGGTTCATCTCGCATCATGTTTCCCAGGAGTTTACGAATAATGTCTATTGACTTGGGTCGCGAAGGTTTGGGACTTTTAAAATACGGGTTCCCAGAAAAAAAGTTTGGGAAACACTGGTTTAAACACTGTAATTTAACTGAGCTAAGCAGCCTCTGTGGAGGAACGTCGCAAAAGTTTTGTTAAAAAGGAACGTCAAACTACACTGGACTTTATTTAAAACAAAGTTCCTACAAAATAGCTTTTCTTGTTATCACAAAGGTAATAACAATATAATAATAATAACAATCAGTGCAATTTATCCCTCAAAATAATGACAACAAAATACATGTTACTTGGTGTGGGACTTTGGGAACCACTGTTGTGAGGTGACGTCTTTGGTAAATAGAAAATTTGTCATTGTACTAACAGCATTCATACAGACCTATAAACAGGTTGGACTTTCTAAGATGTTTGATTCAATTCTCTTGGTTTTTAAGTTGGTTGAACCAGTGTTTAACCACCGCTGACACTCTTTGTAATGTTAAAAACAGAACAAAAAAACAAACAAACCAAAAAAACATGCAAGTGTGTCAGAATGAACCAGCTATAATTAATGAGCACAACACAGTCCCTGTTTATGTGTTGTTAGATTCAGTGATGTATTTAGGACAGAAGGTAAAAATAAAAACTAAAACCTTTGGAATCGGTAAAAAAGAAAAAGAAAACAGGAAGTTCTCACCTCTCTTTGATTTTCAGAGGCCAAATAATTCATCTGAGAGAGTTCTGGTGTGCTGACACCTCTGACAGTGATCATGATGTCAGCGTATGGAACCTCATCATCATCATCATCACTGTCATTGTCTGACAGAGAAATTCGATTAGATAAAAAAATTAAATAAGCATGTCAATGAACATGTGAGCAGAGGTGAACTGACCTGCTGTTGGAAGCAGCAACGTTACTCTTTCACTTTGTTTGGACAGTCCTGGGGGAGATGAGACTTGAGTTATTAGTTCACAGCAGTTTAGTCGTAATTATTCAATTTTTTTATATATATATCATTTTACCAGTGTTTGGTGAGGCAACAGCAGTGGGTGAGGCCAGTGATGAACTGCAACAGTAAGAAATGAAATTATGGTGTTATGGTTTTTGAATATATAAAAGCTGATGTAAGGATTATGTTTTTCTAAACAAACCTCATCACTGGTGGTCCCTCTGTAAGGTACGAAAAAAATATAAAAAAGAGTGTGAGAATGTCTCATTGTCTTGTTTTCCTTTTTTGTGTTACACGTAAATTAGTTTAAAAAATATATACTATATATATATATATATATATAATTTTGCTGAAGACAGTGAAAGTATATTGTAATTACCTTTACTTTCTTGGTTCTTCCTCTTCAACCACAGAAAAGCAGCCACTGCTGTCAGTACAATGGCTACAGCAGTGATAACTGGTAAAATGACATATCCTGTATTTGTTCCTGTGAACATGAAAAAGTAAGAGTCTATCTTTATGAAACGTTGATTTAACCAAACAGGAGCAATAAAGAGAGAACACCTACTTATTTAGAATAGTGGTCTAATGTGTTATGAAAGTTATGAAAGTCAGTATTTGATGTTGTCTTACCACTTTGAGAATCTTCCTCTTTACTGAGAACAGTTTCTAGGAATGGAACAAAGTATAAAAGGCGATGGATGTTTTTATAAACCAGATGTTACTACTGATTTTCAACATTAAACGTCCATACCATTTTTACTTTCATTCCTTGGGCTCACAGTCCAGTGTGGGGCACTTGTTCGAGCTGGAGATATAAAAGGTGTTTCTAATAATTAAAAAAAAAAACAGTAAATTTTTCTGCTGTGCTGAAGGGTGTGATTTATTTTTAATCATTGATTTTCAGACTTTAAACCTACCTTCTAGTCGCAGATAAACAACGTGCTGGGTTTTGTGGGCCAGATCAGGCTCCTCTGTGTTCTCTGTGTAGCAGGTGTAGTTCTTCTGGACGTCATCACTGGACACATTTGGCAGGTGAAGTGAAATAGTGCAGGGATTCCGGCTGATGATGGTGCCATGGCAGCCTGACATGTCGGCTGTTTTGCTCCAACAGCCGCGGACAAATCCACTGCTGCAGTTGTAGGTGCAGTTGAATGTCACAGGATCTCCCAGGACCACAGTCAGATGTTCAGTAGGCTTTTCCATATTTGCACAGCTCACGAATCCTGAGGTGGGAAAAAAACATTTCTAGAAGATAAAGTTTACGTTTTACATTCAATAATGCAACTTTGAATCCTTTTCTACTCAGGTTATACGACGAATGAACATATAAACAATGACATTTAACTTTACCGAGCATCGACCAAACCAACAACACGGTGAAGCTGTGTAAAATCATTGTGGATTTGAGTTAAGCTCTAAATCCTTCTGCTCAATATTAGGTTTCGTGAAGCTTGCACCTGCTGCACAACACTGAGATGTACCCACATAACTGAACCTGCTCTTTGAACAGGATGTGGTTTAAGACAGGAATGTTTTTCAGTTTTGGCACTTGACTTCCTGAAAAATATACAGTGGCTTCAAAGTTGTTGTTCTTTTAAATCCTCGATTTGTTATGTGAGACACTAACGTTTCAATCACCCACGTGAGCGTGTACTTTAATACTACAGAAACCACACATAATTCTGTGGTTTGCACCTGCATCTCCAGATGCATCCCACACACACACTGCAACTTAATCTCTGACTACTACTTCTGTTTTTATATCCGTGTCCTTTGTAGACAAAGAGGATATTTGATTTTAAAAATTATCGTTCTACTCAGTAGCTGTACGATAGTTATAAATGGTTCATTGTGATTAATCAACGTTCTTAAATATGAAAGACAGAAAGATGCATATCACCAGGCAGATGTCGATGTTTCTTACCTGTTTTTATTTATGACCAATCAAAATAATGGAATCTGGACAAATGTCCATAAAAATGTCCAACAGTCTCAGTGAAAATGTCTCTTCATAGAGTTGGTGTATTTCACATTGGTCATTCAGTCATATTAATCAGTCTTCAGTCCTGAACAATCCATTTGACCGTTGTGTCAGTCATAGACTCACTGACTGTCCTGTCCTGCTCTGATCTGACCTGAGGTTGAAAACCTCCACGAACACATGCTGGAAGTTGATGATGTGAAAGTGAAACTAAATCTTATTCCCACAATGTGTGTAAATAACAACACGAGTATCGACAGAGCAATAGAGCAACAATAAGCCTCCAAATGTTTGTATTTTAACATATTTCTTTCTTCTACCCACGAATTAATGCTATATTTTGAATAAAACAAAAACCTTTCAAATCATTTTTAGTTATGCTTGAAATGAACCTGATTTTTCTTTTCCATATTAGAGTCGTAACCCCACATGGGCCACATCAATAATAATGAGCCAATAATGAGGTTAGCACTGGTTCACAGTCATACATTATGGAAGTGGACGGTACAGTTACACAGCATCATTGTGCAACATCGTCAGACAGGAATTCTGTTTCAGGTTCTTGTTTCAGGATCACTGACCACAGGCCTCTCACTTTCTCTCACTTCTTACACCGGTCAGTCCTGGATGGAGATGTCTAACGTCTAACGTCCTTCGTGTTCAGAGTGAGATATAAGTGAAGATGCACAGAGTAATGTGTCTTTGTTGTTCTACAGCTTTGTGTTTCCTTCATGTCCTGACTGAGTTTGGACTAGCCTCAGGTGAGATCTAACAACATTCATTTACATGTCTATTTTTTAACTTTGACGACATTCATTCTCCTTAAATGTTATTTTGTCATATTGTAGAGTTGTTTGAGGGAAGTGCGGAGCACTCTGCAGATACGGATCGTACTCTGTGCCCAGGAGGAAAATACTTTTCCTTCTTACATTGTTTAGAGTGTCCTTCAGGATATTTGTAAGTCGCCAACACGTAACACCAGGTGAAGGTATTTGTCACAAACAAAACCATGTTCTACTAACCTGAATTCAACTGGATTTTAAAATGTGTTATAGTTGCCCAGGCAACACATCCGCACCTCATAAATGTCCACCAGGGACATTCAACCTCTACACAGGACGGAGTAACGCCAGTGACTGTCAGGTCAGAGTTAATGTCTTCTCCTGATTGTCTTCTTTTACAGATTTTCTTTTTGTTCCCCTTCTGATTTTCTCTTGTAACAATCTGTAATAACTTTAACTCTCCCTCTGATCCTGTCCGTCCTGGTCACTCCTGCCATTTTCACACTGGCACTTTACAGTACTTGCTGCACAGTATCACTAGTTTCACTCCCTGTTTGCGTTCACACTGCAAAGTAATGCACGCTCTCTCCTCCACTAATGACCATGGACTAATGCACCTCCAGATGGTGTAAAACCATTAAAACTACTGCAGGTTTTATTCCATGTGTGCCTATGAACAAAAACCTCAAAACTTTAATGCGTTTTTACAAATGGCTGATAAGTCAACGTGGAGCTTACATTGGAGGACACTGTGAAACAAGCATATTGCAATGCCCCTCCGACAGCAACAAACCAGACGGAGACCCCAGTGTTTTTCAGAACCTTTATTACAAACAATCAATAACCGAGCTGCTGTTACAGCCACAAATTGCGCTGAAATCCTCCTTAACTTTTCCCCAATCACTCATTTCGCTCTCCACCTCTCGACTCCCTCTACCCATGCAATAAACAGTTTTAAAAAGAATACAACATCATGACTTTCACACTGGCTTTTTTGCGGTAATTGCCATGATGCTGATCACATGACAACATGTATGTGTCAGTTTAGAAAACGCACAAAATTAATGCAAATTCCGTAGTAAAAGTCAGTTGCTGTGCATTAACTAATACGGGTGTCAATCCCTGTTGAGTGTGACAACGGCAAAAGTGAACTAAAACTGGAAATCTTATTCTATTCATATATTCATTTCTTCTTAGAAGCTACGCTGTTTGAAGTTTTACCAAAGGAAGGTCACTTCTCAAATGACTGGTTTGACCTTCGTCCTTCATCTGTGTGTGTCCCAGCCTTGCTCCCCAGGCTTGATCAGCTCAGAGGACAGATCAGACTGTAGACTGTGTCCTGCTGGATTCTCCTGTGACCCAGTCAATGGGACACTCCTTTTATGCCCTCCTGGACTCTACTCTCCTGAGGGGATCCTGCAGTGTCTGACGTGTCCCGTAGACTCTGTCTGTGTCTCAGGATTCCCTCGAATGGTAATGAGAAAAGCTGGAATTCCAAGTTCACTGAGGCAGAGTGCTTTTCTTTCATTGTTTTGACGTCTCTGTCTTTGGCTGGCAGTGTGGACCTGGCAGGGAGCCCAGTGTTGATCACACTGTGTGTAATGACTGTGTTCCTGGTTTCTACTCCACTGTTTGCACGGTTCAGTGCCGACCGTGTCCTGCAGGTACCGATAGCTGTAGCCCAGGACAGTGTGTCACCGATTACAAATGGCTTTAATTAAAATGCGTTCTTTCATTGTTGCAGGAAGTTACTGTCCAGATGATGGAATGTCACGGCCTCTCACTTGTCCTCCTGGCTGGTCTTCTACACCTGGCCAGACTCAGTGCAGTGAATGCAATAACACAGCTTTGCAGTGTGGGGGAGCTGCCGCACCCACCTGGAACCAACTGCGGCAAAGATCAGGTCAAGTGGTCACCTGTCGACCAGGAACTTATAAAGACAGGGACGAGTCGTCATGTGCGGTCTGTCCAATAGGTCAGTCCTTAAAGCTGGTCAGTAGCTGGAAGAATTCCACACATTTCGTGACCTTTCTCCATTTATCTTAGGTCATTACTGTGTTGGAGGTGCAGCTGTGCCCTGTCCTGCGGGGACCTTTGGTCCTAGAGAGGGTCTGCAGCGGGCGAGGGACTGCACCATCTGTCCTGCAGGTAGAGCATCATCAAATGTTCTCACAGGTCGCTACTAGTTTCGGTAACATGTTCTTGTTCTACAAACAAGTCTCACAGGTCGCTACTAGTTTCGGTAATTGTTTCATGTGACTTCACCTTACGGTAGATGTCATGTTGTAAAGACATAATGTCCTCTCCTATAAATACTTGTCTCCAGGGTTTTACTGTCTGGAAAGCAACTCGCGGAGACCCGTCTCTCAGTTCCTGTGCCCACAGGGCTATTACTGTGAGGAAGGCACCGCCACCCCTCATGGGTCACCTTGCCCTGCCGGTACAGCGGGCGAACAAATGGGTCAGACAAGTAGGGCAGCCTGTAAGAGATGTAAAGAAGGACGTTTCTGTCCTCCAGGTAAGTTTCAAAACAAAAACTCAGGCTCTAATGGACCAAAAACTCTAGTGATAAATATAGAAATGCGCACAAAAAATTAGAAATAAAGATCATTTGCAGAAGTAAATGTGTCGCAGGATGAGGTGTAAACACATTCTCTTTTCTTATGTCTTGTGTGTGTGTGTGTGTTTGCGACAGGATCGTCAGGCCCCGGTCTGCCCTGTGCTTGTGGGAGATATTGCCCCGCCGGCACCTTGACAGAAGTGTTGTGTCCTCAGGGCACCTTCACACCTCACCAAGGGGCAATAAGTCAGTTTATGTTCTTGTTTGTGCGAATGGATCATTGGAATATATTAATATTCATATTACTACTGATTTATAACAACAACAACAACACTTTCATGTCATTATAAATAATAAATCCATACATTATACATTTCAACAACATTAGCCACATTGTGGCTAATGTTGTTGAAATGCATTTACAGCAACAAACTGAAGAGCTGTTGATTGGACTTTCTAACTGTCCAAGGTGTGACCTTGCCAGTT